TGAGCTTTACTTTGTAAAGAATACCCAATGAGGTGTAAGGAAAATTTAAAAAACAATCATTTGAGCCTTTGTCCTGGGAGAGCATTCGTTCCATTTTATAAATGGAACCTAATTCACGGAGCCATTCAGGTATAGGACTGGGAGTTGCCTTCTTTCTCCAATTCCTAGTGATAGTGGAGCGATCTGCAGCCAGAAATTGATGCAGCAACCCCCTTTTGATTTTCTCTACATGTTCCTAGTGTGGAGTGTCCCCTTCAGTGAGGAACAGTGGCAGGGAATCAAAAAAAAAAAAAAAGGTTGTTTTGTGGAGAACAGATGGACAGCTGTACCATTGTGATGGAATTGTTTATTCTGCTCCTGTGCTTTCAAGAAATAAAGGTGAAAGCCTTGTTGCTATGGCTGGGTTTTAAATGAAAATTGATGTAGTGTGTAACAGGTAACAGGTACTTTTGTATAATACAGTGGGACAGCGTGTTCGCTCTTGCACTGTATATTGGTGCACCAAAATGAAAATTCAGGGTGCATTTCGCCGAAAACCAAAACGGACAGGTTTTTTTTTAAAAAAAATTTAAACTTAATGTGGCTGGCAATTTTGCATTAAAGTCAATAGGGATGAGACTTTGCATAAAAATCTATGAGACGTGATTTTGCATTGAAGTCACTAGGGAGTATTTTTACATGAAAGTCAATGAGACGCATGTATCGGCAGCTTTTTTCCTATCCGTAAAATACAGATAACACTTCTGCCGATATATTGGTGCATCTCTACTGTATATGCAGTTCACCATGTAGAGTTCCTTGCCTTTCTTTGGTAAACTGCTGAAAGTACTTTGAGCGAGATAAGCAACATTGGCCAGTGGATCTTGGTTCCATCTAAATCACTAAACTTTTTGTATATGGTGTAACAATCTTTGAATGAACTTAAAAACTTATCTTTTTAGATTTATTGGGGAACCAGACAGGGTTGCCCTTTTATCTCCTCTTATTAGCACTGGCTATTGAGCCATTGGCTGCAAAATTGAGAGAGGGTATTAATATCAAAGGCCTGTGTATAGGGGGATTTGAAGAGCGAGTTCCATTATACGTTGATGATATGCTCTGATATTTAAAGGATGCAGACTGGTCTCTGTCTTTAGCCTTTTCGATTATTCAGGAATTTGGAGATTTTTCCGGTTTTCGCGTTAACTGGGATAATTCAGTTCTATTCCCCTTAGATGCACAATCTGACCTGCGATCTCCTCCTCATTGTCCCATTCTTGTCTTAGATAAGTTCAAATATCTTGGGGTTTATGTTCAGCCCCCACTGCCCTCTTTTTTTAGATTATCTTTTGTCAGTTCTTAGATCGTTTAAAGACAGGGCTCAGAAGTGGAAGGATCTTCCATTAATGCTGTTGGGCAGGATTAATTTGTTCAAGATGATTTATTTACCTAACTTTCTCTGTATTCTCTCCAGTGCTCCAGTATACATTCCAAATAGGCTTTTTAAACATATTCATTCACTGCACAGTGCTTTTTTTTGTGGGGTTCCAAAGTACCCAGGGTATCCCTTGAAATTTTACAGTTTCCAATAGAAAGAGGTGGTCTGGCGTTGCCGGATCTTCTTATGTATTATTTTGCATCTCAACTGATGTATATGCATTTGCGAATGTTCCCTCAGTTAAATAATGCAGCAACGGCAGTTGAAGCAGCAGTGGCCTCCTATGAGGCATTGCTGAACTTTTTCTATAGAGGTGAGGTCCCTACGCCAGGGGGCAAGCCCATTCTGGCAGTCTCTAGGACTATACAGAGGTTGTGTATTAATCAAATTTCGGATGAGTCCCTGGGTCATTTGCCGAGTGCTCCACTATGGTATAATCCACATTCTGAATAATTTTTTTAAGCTAAATGAGGGTCGTAGGTGGGCACGCTATGGGGTTAAATATCTCTGTGATTTATATGAAGATGGGAGATTTGAAACCTTTAGACAAATGCAGATTGAGTGGGGCGTACCAGCTTCGTGGGATTTTTATTATGTCCAGCTTAAACATGCTGCGTTCCGGCAATTTGGCGAGGAGGCGGTGTCTCTAACACTAAACTTGAGACACTCCTGGGACCAGAGCATAATAAATCAGTTTCTAGTTATTACTCAGCACTGATTCTGATAGATAGTAGGCAATGCCATAGAACCAAGGAAAGATGGAGTGCTCTTATTGCAGACCTGATGGCCCAGAGATGGTCAGAGGTGCTTCATTCGTATGTGGCGTCTGTCATCTCCTCTGAGGATAACATGGTACAGATACGATATCTACACCAGACGTATTATACACCGCTAAAATTATTTAAGATGGGTAGGAGGAACTCTGCAACATGTCATAAATGCTTGGTGACTGAGGGAACTTTCCTGCATATGGTTTGGGAGTGTGCTAAGGTCTGACCATTGTGGTCCCATGTTACGCTGACGTGTTTGATTTGCCAAACATTTGTAGCTTACTTATTAGCTTCCTGGAGGTAATTGAGGATGATATTATGGATAATGTCACACAAACCTTTTTGAGATTACTATTCTTTTATGTGTGTAAATTGATAGTGTTACATTGGACATGAACGGATGTCCTTGGTTTGGCAGCCTGCAAAAAATTGGTGAATTATATGTCCCACTATATGAAATGACATGAAGCCAGAGGATGTCCAAATAAATTTCTACGAATTTTGGTCTTGATGGATAGAATCCTTAGTTACAGTGGAAGACATCCCTGGAGTGGCATAATTTTGGTGTATTGAGTATGATACATGGACCATTTGTCCGCTGTTGCCTTCGGTTAATTAATGCACTGGTACAGAATATTGTATTGATGCTAGTATGTTAAAATGTAAAGGAAGAGTAGGAGTTTACTCCACAAAGTTTGGTTTCAAATCTGTTCTCTTTCTGTGTTCCTTATTCTTTTTTCTCTTATTTGAGTTTTCTTTTTCTTTTTTTTGTTTTAATCGCTGTTATTATGCCGCAACCTCTCATTGCTGCTCTCAAACTAATACTTGTGAAACTGATATATGTACTTATGGTATCCTTATTACTATATTTATTGTATGACTTTGCAGATAATATTTGAGCAGACATTTGGTTGCGTTACATTGTGCAATGTCTTGGTAGAACTGGATAATACTTGCTGCCTTGCTTTTCTTCCTTTTTAAGATTTTGTACTGGAAATTGTGTTTTACTATTCTGTTATGCTGTATATATTTGTGCATATGGCAATAAAGCTCTTTTTTTTTTTAAAAATGGCGATATTTTGCCAAGTTTGTCTGTTGGATTTTAAAATACACTGCTCAAAAAAATTAAAGGAACACTTTTTAATTAGAGTATAGCATCAAGTCAAACTCCTGGGATATTGATTTGGTCAGTTAAGTAGCAGAGGGGGTTGTTAATCAGTTTCAGCTGCTTTGTAATTTAATGAAATTTATTAGGAGCACCAGATGGGCAATAATGAGACGACCCCCAAAACTGGAATGATTTTACAGGTGGAGGTCACTGACATTGTTTTTCCCTACTCATCTTTTCTGACTGTTTTTTACTAGTTTTGCATTTGGCTAGGGTCATTGTCACTACTGGTAGCATGAGGCGCTACCTGGACCCTACAGAGGTTGCACATGTAGTCCAACTCCTCCAGGATGGAACTTCAATACGTGCCTTTGCCAGAAGGTTTTCTGTGTCTCCCAGTACAATCTCAAGAGCATGGAGAAGATTCAAGGAAGCAGGCAGTCACTCTCGGAGAGCTAGACAGGGCCATGAAAGATACTTAACCCATCAGTAGGACCAGTATCTGCTCCTTTGTGCAAGGAGGAACAGGATGAGCACTGCTAGAGTCCTACAAAATGATCTCCAGGAGTCCACTGGTGTGAATGTCTCTGACCAAACAATCAGAAACCAATTTCATGAGGGTAGCTTGATGGCCCGATGTCTTCTAATGGGCCCTGTGCTCATTGCCCGGCACCATAGAACTTGATTGGCATTTGCCATTGAACACCGGAAATGGAAGGTCCACTACTGCCCTGTTCTTTTCACAGGAGAGCAGGTTCACCCTGAGCACATGTGATAGACGTGAAAGGGTCTGGAGAAGCCGCGGAGAACGTTATGCTGTCTGTAACATCGTTTAGCATGACCGTTTTGGTGGTGGGTTAGTGATTGTCTGGGAAGCGATATCCATGAAGGGACGCACAGACCTCTATAGGCTAGACAATGGCACCCTGACTGCCATTGGGTATCGGGATGAAATCCTCGGACCCATTGTCAGAACCTATGTTAGTGCAGTGGGTCCTGGGTTCCTTCTGGTGCTCGACAATGCCCCGCTTCATGTGGCGAGAGTATGCAGGCAGTTCCTGGAGGATGAAGGAATTGATACCATTGAATGGCCCCTCGCTCGCCTGACCTAAATCCAATAGAACACCTCTGGGATATCATGTTTCAGTCTCTGCTGCCGCCAGGTTGCACCTGAGACTCTCCAGAAGCTCAGTGATGCCCTGGTCCAGATCTCGAAGGAAATACTCCAGGACACCATCCGTCGTCTCATTAAGAGCATGCCTCGATGTTGTCAGGCATGCATACCAGTACGTGGGGGCCATACAAACTACCATTTTGAGTTGCTGCAATGAAATTTCAGCAAAAATGGACTAGCCTGCTGCATAATTTTTTCACTTTGATTTTCAGGGTGTCTTTGAATTCAGTCCTCTGTAGGTTGATAATTTTCATTTCCATCAAACGATGGGGCATTCTTACATTCCTAACACATTACCCAGTCCATGTCAGTATAGATATCCAGCATGATATTTTTCCCTCATTGAGATCTGATGTGTTTTCAAAGTGTTACTTTAATTTTTTTGTGCAGTGTACTACAATCCAGCACTACTGAAAGTAAATGTTTTTGCTGTACACTTTTGTGCATAGTTGACTGTGAAATACAAAAGTGTGAACGGTCCCTGATTAAAGTCTTTCCCTTGTTTGTTGATCTCATGTCTTTCTTTTTTAGGGGTATGTAAAATGTATGAAGAACACTTAAAGAGAATGAATCCCAACAGTCCATCCATAACATATGACATCAGTCAGTTGTTTGATTTTATCGATGACTTAGCAGATCTTAGCTGTTTGGTGTAAGTATTTGCCGCCAACCCTGCCCCCCCCCCTTTTTTTTTATGGCAAATGTGATATCGTATGCATGCCTGTAAATCCTGGTACACACGATGAGAATATTTGTTTTTGCATGCTAGTCTCATATCGAAACCAAATGGGTTATTAGAGTTACAAAAATTCTCAAAACAACAAAATACGACTTCCTGCAGTGATGTAATCTTTCCTTTCTCAGCATGCATGGTCTTGGTCACACAATTTGTTTTTTCTTTTTTGACGGATGCATACTATACTGATTAGGTGAAAATTATTTGTTCTGTTATCGATGACAGAATTGTTCCTTGCTTGTCCCTTTTGGATAATTCCGCACCTTGTCTGACAGCACAGCAAATGTTGCAAGGCACCAATGAAGATGGACAGATTACTCACTTTGTCCCATCAGGAACTGAATAATGTATATTAAAAAAAAAAAATACAATTTTTTAATGTATACCTTTTTTTTTTATAAGGTGGTTGTTTTGCAACTACTTGTGCTGTTTGAAAGCAACATGGATATTGAAGACTCGACAAGTTGTATCTATGTACTGTGTTTAATATTGAAGTGAACTATTGGCAAAATAACACATAACTGTTTTATAAAATAACACAAAATAACAGATAAGCAGTTTTTCAGTAGCACTAACACAGCAGCATTGTATTAAAAAAAGCTTCATCCCTGCACTGGCATTTTTAACAGCTGATCAATTAATATTCTTGTTCCCTTTACTAATATCTGAATTTTCACAGAAATATCATGCTTCTGATAAATCATGGCTCAAGCCCCCAAGCCTTTGCAATGTTAGCCGCAGTGGTAAATTAATGATCCCCAATTTACTGTTCTCTTGCAGGTACCGTGCAGACACTCAGACATACCAACCCTACAATAAAGACTGGATCAAAGAGAAGATTTATGTTCTGCTCCGTCGACAGGCTCAGCAAGCAGGCAAATAGGGAGGCAGTGAGGAGAGCTGACATGTACAGCGGACACCAGAGGGTGTTTTGTTTTGTAATATAGTGGATTTGTGTTTTCTTTATGCTTTAGGGGACAGAGTTTTAGATCAAATTTGTCATATGTTGGAAGTTTTTCCTTTTTTATTCAACCTTGTTTTAGCCAACCAGTCTGTCTGGTTGGGCCTTTCACCTACCAATCACTGTAAAGTTCAGCAGCACTAACAGTGTAGAGCTAGACTGTTCAGTGATTTTTGGCACCCCCCTGTTTTGGCAAGTTAAGTTATGCCTTACATCAGATGTTTTAGAAACCATTAATAAAATCCTAAGTTGATAGTTAAAATGTGTTTTTGTGTTTTTTGGGGTTTTTTTTTTTTTCTTTTGGTTTTGTTTTCATTTTCTTTTTTCTTTTAATTTTTTTTTTTTTTTTTTTTTGCTGCTGTTAGTGCAACTATAAATTATCATACATCTGAAATAAGCTGTTGATTATGTTAAAGGTTAAATTATAACTGTTCAGTGTTCATGCAGATTAGCTACATCAACAGAAAAGTTGAGCTTTGGACAATATTATAAGCCCATTAAAGCAAGCCAGCACCTCGGTGGCTAAAATCCAGAAGTGTTCTGAACCAGCATCTCATGTTGAGAGTCTGGCCTAATGCTCTGACTTCCAGGGCCTCCCTAGTGGCCTGGCCAGAAAGGCTATGCATTATGGTAATGAGCCAAGACTGAGATTTAGAAGTGTGGCAAGCTAGTTGATTTTTTTTTTTTCATACCCAAAGTCCTCTTAGTGGGGCTTTAGGTGCACGAAATTAAGAAATAGTCACAGATTTTCCGTCTTGTAGAGCTAAACCTCAAAACAAAAAATATAATGTATTGCAGCCTACAAGTCCTTCAATATGGGGCTTGTCTTCCCTTTTTTTGCTTTTTAGCCCAAATTTGGGAGAAGTGACATTGTTGCTTCTTTGTGATTGAGCATTGCTACCTTGGTACAGGAGATGTTTTACTGGCAAAATTACCAGGTGAAAAAAGAGGAAAACCTAAAGAGAGAAAACAAATGCAGCCACAACATTTGAGGCTGGTAAGCTGCAATACATTGTTTGTTTAGGTACAGTTTTTAAAGCCTAACTTCTGCTTTGTAAAGGGGAAAAACGTGTGTGATGATTGGACCCTGGAAAAGCTTTTGAGGATACTATACCCCCTATATAGCACTGCCCCAATCTGTGAGTCCTCGTGTGGTTTTTTGTTTTTTTTTGCTTGTGTCCTAAGGTGATGGATCTCTTCTCCTCCTTTGCGGAGAAATCACTCTTAGAATTTTTCTTTCTTTATTTTATCTTTGGATTCTTCAATCAACTCCTTCACTTTCCTCTAATACAACAAAAGAAGCAGTTCATCTGGATTGGTGCAACTTCAAAACTATAGCTACATGGTTCCAAGAGCAAGGTCCATTGCTGTGGAACCCAGGCCCGGAAGACCCCTTCGGGCATATGCCCACTGTGAAGTATGGAGTTTTAGATCTTAATGTCCAGCATTGGGAACAGGTAAGACACAGTCACCCTGTTCCTCTGGCTGTTAAAGTAGTCCCACTGCAAGTAGAATTATTTACCTCCATTACTTACATTAAACTATATTAGGTGTATCCTGAATAGTTTGCGCTTATATATTAAAACTACTAGGAAACCAAGAATGTGTTTGAAATGTATTCACCTACAGTGTAAACTTTCTGAACTTGGTGCTAAAATTCAATCACAGGCCAGCGCAAACTGTAGCGGCAGAAATCAACTCATTCCTGCTGAAACAGCCGCCAATCCCGTTCACTATAACGATAGGTCACATGTGGCCACAGCTATTCGTGGCTTTCTGCACAGCCAGTAATTACCTTCGTGTTGCACACAAAATGTCTAGCAGGTAATCGCTGGCTGTGTGGACAACTGCGCATACCTGTAGCCACCAGCAACCTGTCATTATAGTGAATGAGGCCAGTGGCTGCACCTAGCTGCTCAGTCGCAGCAGGAATCAGAAGATTCCTGCTGCTGCAATTCTTACCAGCCTTAATTGCCGGTGTGAATGGGACCTTAGAGCTTAGTCTCAATTAGATGACCAGGTGTTACATAACACCACAGGTTGGACATTTTAAAACCATTTCTGCCTAGAGCCTTATAAGGTACTCAGGTGCCACCTCCCAACCTTTTGCGCAAGTACTTTGCTACAGTGCAGCCTACACTGAGTAGGGCTGCGTCATCCTTCTGGACATGCTTACCCTACTTTCAGTACCCCATAGAGGAATACCTATCGCTTTGTCAAAGGGTCGAACAACACTCAGCCTCAGTGACCATGCTTCCCTTGTACCAGAGGAGGACACCATTTTTAACACTGGTCTCTGCATCCAGTTCTAGCTATATCTCTAGCACACAGCATGAGGATTATTTTACAGAGGCAGAATTTTCTGCAGTTCTGTACCACTTCAACAGCTAACAGCTTTTATACAGCTATTACTGCCAAAAGCTCTGAAACGCCAGTCTCTTTCCTCCTCTGCCTTTTCTAGAGTCAGATCTTGCTATGCCCTTCCTGAAAGAGGCAGACTAAAGGAGAAATAGAGGACCTTGAGAAAGTCGAAGATATCACTCCCTCAGACTCCTTTTATGCCTAATACTATGGCTTTACACAATACACTAGCCGCTATCCCTTCTGTGTTGCTCAAAGATCTTAGCATTGGCCTACTCCTTTTCCATCTCTATGTCCCTTTTGGGTCCTAGGAGACCCCTTAAGTCTAAAAGGGAACTCCCCATTCAAGAATGAATAAAAGTGGAAATTAAGGACAATTGAGTCAATCCTGGAATGATTTTAACTCCTCCAAAAATTATTACTGAACTCTATCCAATGGAAAACATTTTGCTACGAAGTGAGCTTTTTCAGTAGTAGATTCTGCTGTTTCAGTCTTAAGAAAACATTTCACTGTTTCAATTAAAAAAAAAACCAAAAACAAATTCCTAAATTGAGGGATTCCGCAAATAGAAGTTTTGAGATGCTCAGCTCTTTACACTTGCATGACCAGGTTTGCAACCAACTATCTCTGTGGTTTGTCAGATCGCAGCTACTTGTACCACCTTCACAATCCTGGTTTCTTGGACTGTACCTTAATGGAGCAACTACAGCAATTGCCCCTGTCTTGCTCCATTGTGCAGATGCACCACAACTAATCATAACACACATTTCTAGAATGTCTTTGATTTCCATTCACATGCACAGAATCTTTGTGGCTGAAAGCCTGGTCAGCAAAAGCGACCAGTAAAAGATGCCTCAAAAGGAGGATGTCTCTGGTGAAACACTTGACAAATTCATCAAAGATGTCCGGGAATCAAAAATTCAAAAAGCCTTCCCTTCAGGAGCCATTTTCATTTTCCAAAACATAGAGCATTTATTCATTCTACCCAGGCTTAAATTTCTAGACTGATGTTCAGCCCTTCCTTCCAGCCCAAACCTAGGTTCTTAAAACCTGCCAAGAGTTCTGCAAAGCCTTTTTCCCAAAGAAAAAGTACCCTCACTCTTAAAAGCAGGGGAACGTCTGTTGTAGTTCTTGGTCACTGACATTACAGACCTGTGGATTCAATTAAGGGATCAGAGAAGTACAACATAAAGTGCAAACCTTTATCCACTCATGCCTCCTTCCCTATCCTGCTCAAAGACAGATTTGCGGGACATCCTGAAATTCTTTCCTGGGATCTTATTTTCTAGTAACTCCTAGAGGACAGGTTTAAAAGATTTTACTTCTTTCTTTTTTTTTTTTTTTTTTTTTAAATATTTATTAAATTTTTCATGTTAATACAAATACCCAAAAAGGGAAATAATTCTCATACAAATAGACATTTATAACATTTTTACCTTTCCCTTACTAAAAACTCTTTTCTTTCCCATCCCACTACCCCCCCCTTCCCGCCCCTCATCCCCCCTCCTCCCCCTCTGCAGACTCTAGCCCATTCTAATCACTTGAGGCTTATTAATTTTTTGCTAACATCCTAGTTCATATTTTCCTATATTTCTCTTTCAATCCCGCTCTTTCCCACTTTTCCCATCTCCTAAAATAAACTCTCTCCTAAAATAAACTCTCATCCTATCTTCCTGCATATGGTATGATCTTTCCATTCTACCTATCTGGTTTACTCTATTAATCCAGTCTTCCTCCTTCGGTACCTCAGCTCTCCGCCAAAACTTGGGTATCAACCCTTTCGCTGCATTCAAGAAGTACCATATACCTGAATCTTTATATTTATTTACAAATGTCTCTACATTGTGTAGGAGGCATGTCGTTGGGTCTAACCCTATGTCAATTTCAGTTATTTCTTCAATCAATTTGACTATTATCTTCCAAAAAGCCTGGATTTTCGGACATTCCCACCATATGTGAAACACCGTGCCTATCTCGCCACATCCTCTCCAACACATATTTGAATTTTTCCCCATTCATCTTGTGCTCTGCACTCGGTGTAATGTGCCATCGTGTCACACACTTATAATTAACCTCAACCTCTCTCATACTAACATTATCGTGTATCAATCTAAACATCTTTCTCTGTCTATCTTCATCAAACCCAACTCCCATATCCCTTTCCCATTTTGTTATAAAAGTTAACTTTGTGTTTGTGTCTAATTCTGTGAGTATTCTATACACTTTTGAAATACCGTGCTTCCCATCCCTTCGTGTCTCTAACAACCTTTCAAACATATTCCACTCCTGTTTTAGTCTCGGGTTTCGGTAGATTTCCAATAAAACATTTCAATTGATGATATTTCCACTCATCTATTCTAATAAAAATATCTCCCTTCTTCTCTATTAAATCTTTAAGTGATCTCAATTCCCCCTCCACCAAAACATCTCTCAGTTGGGTATCCTCCTTTCTAAACCATCTCCCTGATATCTTATTCTTTCCTGGGGGAAAGTACTCAGTATTTGTGAGAGGCATTAATATAGAATTAAATTCCCATTTCATGTTTTTGTGTAAATTGTC